AATTTAATGCAAATTCTGGATATGACAGTTCATCCAAAAATATTTCAGTATGGATCTCTAAGATTTAAACAGCTCTAATGAGGCATAATTGACACACAATAAATGGGAAGAGACATTTCCCCTAATCCCCTCCACCCTAACACAGCTATTCGCTTTTGCATACCTCTAGTCCTTGACCTTATGCAGAATAATAGTTAATATTTTAAGGATGGCAGGAATTATTCAGACGGTCGACAGTCTTAATAAAGTTCCCTGTGAAGAATAGAGTATGTTTCCAGGAAAAACGGTGACTCTGCTACTGACAACAGTTAATACGTATCAGAGCCGAGTGCACCATTTCCTGTTTTTCTTTGCAGAGGCCCAACTCTGGAATTCCCCTTGTTTGCCCATGATTTAAATCTTGTCTGTATCTTTTATTCTTAATTCAGCACACCAAAAAAGTGTGCTATTCTTTAAATATCCACAGTGTGCCTGAAAAATATCGCGTTTTTGTATTTTAAAATATTTAATTATACTTAGAATCTAGATTTTGATTCATTAACAGTGTTAGGAGTCTAAAGAACACCTCGGCCTCTGTCTGGATTCATCCCTCCTACCTTCTCTGGAACCTTATGTTGGTAATCCTTTATTTTTCTATACTTTCAGTCTCTCCTCTTTTACTGGATCTTTCTCATCTTCAAGGGAAATTTGCAGTCCTCATTTCTTCTGCCTTCAGCTACAGCTCTTTCTTCTCCTTGTCCAGAAGGCAAGACTTCTCCAGTTGTCTGTTTGATGGCTCAATTTCTCCACCTCCTGGACACCCCTCAGTCCCCTCTGCTGCCTTCCAGCCTCACTCCGCTGACACAGCACTCACTGAGGTGCTCGCTCCATGTTGCTGAAACCAGTGAACATATTTCTCTCTAACTGACATCTCACCAGCTTTCAACTATATTGCCTAATTCTTCTTGACACTTTCAAGAAGACACACCTGCTTTTCCTCCTTACTTTCAGGCTGTTGCTGGCCTCTTTTGATGGCTTATTTCCCTCCCACCCCCAAACTTATTTCAAGTTCCTCCCCGCAGCTTTCTTCCTAGGAAGTCTCATTAACTCCTACAGCATTTTTATGACTCTCTATTTGTTATCTCTAGTTTACCCTCTTTTGATTGCTGTATCCATGTATCCAACTTGCCATTTTGATAACTTCACCTGGATGTCTCACAGACACCTCAGATTCAGTGTGTTTTAAACTGGATTTTTCGTCTTCCCCTAAAGCCTGGTCCTCTTTCAGTATTATCTAACCCGGGGAATTGTGCATTCTTCTCAGATAGGAAATCTTTGCATCTTTCTTAATTTCTTCCTCTCCCTCAATTCTCAAATCCAGTCAACAACCAAATTCTATTGTTTTTACCCACTGAAGACCTCTTGATTATACCCACTTCTTTTCATTTCTGCTATTAGTTGAATCCAGGTAATCTCTTTTCACCATCATTACTATAATAGCTTCTCCTTTGGTCCCCTCCATCCTGCCTTCCACCTGTACGTGTCACGGAGTAGCCTTTTAAAACCAATTTGGTCATGTCATTCCCCTGCTTTAGAAGCTGTGTCCCTGTAGCCTTTCATGAAGGAACGACTGAAAGCTTCCACTTTTATACCCTAAAATCAAGGTGAGATTAGGTGGCATGAAGAAACCTTCCAGTACTAAAGAGAAAGTTCAACTCCCCAACTCAGTGAAATTCAAATTGAAAAGGATTCACTATTTTCAGATTTTTAAATTAGTTACCTAACATAGTCATTATAGTAGAGGTAAGTTGAAGTCTTCCTGTCCTTTGCTTTTCAGTGTGAGAGTAGTCTCTTTTGAACCAGTTTAGTTAATCCTTTTTTGCACATTCTCCCTTGGTATTCAGAATATTATTTATCAGTGTATATTAATATCCCTCTTTCAGAAGTGTATCAGTTCACAAGCATATCCATTAATTGGTTCTTTCAAGATGCATTTCTGGGTGACATTAGTGGTGGCCTGAGTGCACCATGGTAACTCTTCTCTGCCAACATCTTCCTGCAATAATTCGACTGTTAGAATAAATCACTTAACCGGGAGATGCGGGCCAAGTGTAGCCGTCTGCTAAGCCCCAAACACATCCTTCCGGAGGAAATGATGCAGATTCAGAACTGTTAGAAGTTGCTTCTGTGTGCTCACAGGGCAAGGGATGATCAAGACACAGTGACCTAGAAGTGTGGATCTTATTCTCTGAAATATGCCAGTCCCTTGCCTGCTTGAAAGGGCCCTTTGGCAGAGCCAAGTGGCACACTCAGCACATCAGGCGCTGTTGTCCCTGTGAGTTAGATGCACAGGGCCTTGGGAAAAGTCTGCAGTCCTGCAGATACAATTATCCCATGGAACCTAACTGGTAGCCTTTTTCTTCAACTGGAGACTTCCCTTTTATGCTCATATCTGGAGTGTGCCAAGAACCTAGAAGCCTCCCTCTCTACTTGTCAGTCAAGGGGCTTACTGGGGAAGAAACTCCAACAATTTGTCCTGCCCAGGTGTTGAGAAAATTCACATCCTCTGATGGTGAAGATACATTTGGGTGTGCCTGGCAAACAAATAGCTTCCTAACAGTGCAAATTTAATGGAAATGTAACACTATTTACCAAGAAGAAAAAAGGCGCACAACTACCATTAGCATCTTCTTTCCCTACCTTAATCTTAGAAAAGAGAAGGTAGCATTACATCTTAAGGCTCATTTAGGGACTTATGCTGTATCATCCCAGATGAGAAGAGTTTGAAGGGAAGTGTGTTGAAAGGGGTGTGTAGAAATAGACAAACTGAGAGTCTGGGGAACAGGATGGAAGAGATGAGCACATTGCTAGCATGGCATCCTGGGTCAAAGGAGGGCTGTGGGTGTCAAGTCTGTGATTAGGGGCAGGGAGTGTGTATGAGGCACCTTTAGGGCACCTGAATTAGCCTGTGCAAAAAAAAAAAAAATAGCAGGAAATCCGTGCACTGTGCTACAGAATAGAAAAATTGAAGAACAAAGACAAAGGATCTAGACCCTCCCTTGGTTTCCTGACGCCATTTTAACCTAGAATTTTTCTATAATCCTATGGAGCAGGGCCCCACAACATGGGTTGAATTTCTTATCAACCCTTCTAAAAGGGGCTTGAAGTAACTAAATTTGGAGAAGTAAAGGAATGAGAGTATTTTGCTCCCTAGTTTATAGACTCTAATTCATATAGTCAAACATTTTAAGAGGAAAAGATAAGAAGCTATAATACAAATTCTCAAAGAGATTAAAAAATATTGCAGTGATGAGATCTCATAACAAAGAGCTTCTGAAGAAATAGCTATAATTGAAAAGTGAAATTATGAATGTACCACTGAAAAAATTACTGGTCTGGAACTGGGGTCACCAAACTACTGCTTGTAGGCCAGATCTAGCCTGCCACCTGTTTTTGTAAGTAAATATGTACTGGAACACAGCCACACTCATTTGTTTATGCATTGTCTGTAGCTGCTTTCATACTACAATGACAGACATACTACATTCTACTACGACAGAGACTGTACGGCTTGCATGCTTAAAAACTTTACTATCTGGCCTATAAAAAAAATTTGTTGATTCCTGAAGGGGATCAAGTGGAATTATTTTCCACTGCAGCAAAACTATAAAGAGAAATAAAAATAATGGATGAAAATATAAGGAACTTGGAAGATAACACACGCTCTCTCTCACATGTAAACACTCATTCAAATGTCCACATAACAGGAGCTCTGGGAATAGCAAAAAGGAACCCAAGGAGCGATATCAAAGAAATAATAGAAGAAAACTTTTCTAAGATATAGTAAAACCTGTGTTCAGATCTAGAGTGACCAACCGTATGCCGTACGGAACACTGGAAGGAAAAACCAACAAACTTACAGATAGCCCAGTGTCTCTGTTGAACTCTGAGGATGAACATAAATATTTCAGAGGAAAAACATCAGGCTTCTTTTGGGATTCTAATCTGTAGCAATAAAAGCTAGAGGACAGTAAAAGAATGTATACTGGCTTTTAACATTAATGCCTTAATCTCTGGAAAAATCTCAGATGACCAGTGAAACAGCAGCAGGGTAGGAAATATCTCTACTGAGGTGGATGGGCATATTGGTGGGGCAAGGACTCCAGCTGGTAGCTAAGTTACTGGGAAGTAGGGTCCTGCACTTGTAAGAAGTGGTTGCCAAAAATTAGGAGTCAGTAAACCCCAGCCTAGTGGACTGAGGTTGGATAGGGTTTTGTTCCAGCTGGAACAGATCAGAAAACAGTGAATGAACTAGGACCAAATCTTCCCCATACAGAGCAGCTGACAGGTTGATTGCAGCGTGGAAGGGTAGTTGGGTATAATCAAAGTAATAACCATCAAAATACAATCCTTTTGTTAATGTTAAAAGTCATAATGTTGGGCCAGCCCTGGTGGCCTAGTGGTTAAGTTTGGTGTGCTCTGCTTTGGTGGCCCAGGTTCAGTTCCCAGGTATGTGGACCTACACTGCTCTGTTAGTGGCCATGTTGTGCTGGTGGCTCACATACTAAAAAATAGAAGAAGATTGGCAGGATGTCAGGTCAGGCTGAATCTTCCTCGGGGAAAAAAAAAGTCATAATGTTGTACTCAAATCACACTGTATTCTTTGCTGACAATAATACTGACTGATGATAAGTTTATATTTGTCTCATTTTTTTAAAAAAGAATAAAACTTAAATGGTTATTATACTAATGTGTCTGACCAAAACCAGACCAAATAATCTATTTCACGTTCTAAATAATAACCTAATATTTTGCTTTACCGATCATTTTTTTTGTACGTATATTTCTATTGGGGACTTCATCATAAGAAGTAATAATGGTAGTCCAAGATTTAGGTATTTTTGTGTCCTGGGCAAATTTATTAAATTGTTAAACAAAGCTACTCATAGTATATAAATCCATCAGAATAAGTTTTTCGTTAACAAGATCATGTTCTCTATACATTGTTCTCCATGTTTTAGAAAAGGCGCCGGCGGATTGACCGAAGTATGATTGGAGAGCCAACCAACTTTGTACATACTGCTCACGTGGGATCCGGAGATCTGTTCAGCGGAATGAATTCAGTAAGTATATTGGTGGGGCATGCAGATGGGGCCTTGGGGCATAGACGTATGTAACCTGTGTGACATGTATGGACGTTCTTAATGATTACACCATGCTGAATGAATTTGTAGACATCGAAGATAAATATATAATGTGAGTATAGAAGAGAGAAGAAAATGAACAATTAAAACTTAATCTCTCATCTAATTTGCCAAGTTATGCATTGGTCTCTGTTTCTTGTACTAAACTCTTCATAGCTACCTTTCTCCTGAATACAAACTTGTAACCTTTAAAGGACTTGAGTTCAGAATGGAAGTTTATATCCCATTGATTCTCATGCAGTGTAATGGAAGCACCACCAAATGAGGGCTTTTCTCAGGGCTCTGCCTCACTTTTGCCCTGAAGCAAGCCACTAAGTATCCAGAGCCTCTTTCCCTCAAATGTAAAGCAAGGTGTGCATCTAGATGATCCTTAAAGTGTGTAGAACCAGAAAGTCGATAAGGCTTCTAAAACACAAAATCATGACCCGTTATATGCTCACTCACTCATCAGCATCAAGGCCTTAGCAGAGAACAGAGACTTTAAACTAGCTGGATGGGTATCCTGGATACAGCAAACAAGTTTGTCACTTCAGTTACTAGGTAAGCAAAGGAATGACATTTGTAGCTTCCTGGAAAGGAAACATCGTGTTTGTTTTAAATCTGTAGGAAAAGTACTTTGTTTCACTCAGTGCTTTTGTGGAAATGTAAGAAGTGTCAGGTTGCTGTCAAAGTATAATGCAGCAGCTTTGTTTCCTGGATGAGTGTGGAATGAAAAGACCAAAGGGGACCCTATGACTTTTGTTAATATGGTTATTATTATATAGAGAGAGACAATGAATGCTTTCAAATGTGTTATATATGATGAATTTTAATTTCTTTCTCATCAACAAATGTCTTCTTCCCCAGTTCAGGTTTTTAAAACATCTGACTATATAGGACAATTTAAATTTTTAGTTCATGATATTTAAATTTTTAACTCTTGTTTATGCACATTTCAGAATTTCCTTTAAGATTCCTGTCTGGCATTTTGTCTCTGTGAAAAGCCTGTCCTTGGTGGAGGTGACTGTTGCTTGCCATTGTTTTAGGCAGAACTTAAGCACTGTTCCTTGCAGGGCTCCCACGGCCGCCTCTTCAGCTGAGATGTGGGATCGAGACGGGCCCTCAGCTGCTGTGGAGGTTCTGCCCTGCAGGCTCCAGGCAGCCTCTCTGCTCCCTGCAGCAGGATTTTTATGAAGTGTTTTAGCTCTTCAGAACCAGTGTGTCTCCCAAAGGCCTTTGTAGTCATTGCCTGTGTTAGTTTTTTGTCTCCACAGTGATATGCACTCCCTGATTTGGTGAGAGACTTCTGTTCTCCTGTGCAATAACAGTGCAAATGAGACAAAACCATAAATATGTTCTCTCTCCAAAGAAATGGTTTCTCTTAAGTTTCTCTATCCTAAGAACTGAGCAGCTCGTATTAGGAACATGGCTTGATGTGTATGAAACAGCCGTGCCACACTGGCTGCTGAAGACTCAAGTGACTTATAGTTTCTTTTTTCCCCTAAATATACTGTTCTTCCCAGGACTGCCTTTCATACTAACTTCTTTCTAGAAAAGGTTTCTGTGACTCTTTTAATAATATAGCCCTGTTGTGTTAAAATATTATATATCCACAATTACAGTAATACATTCAGTCTTAACACTGAAGGGTTTCTTATTAGAAAATTCAGATCCTTCAGTTTGGAATTGAAGGATTGACTTTTGGAGGAAAAACAGGTTTTTTTTTTTTTTTTTAAGAAGCTGCATAGCATTATAAATGCACCACGTAAAAATATAAAGATGTTGTTGTTTTTTAAATAGACCTAAAAATAGCTGTAAAAGCTAACATGTCATGTTAGGTAGGAAATTATGTGGTACCAGGGTGAAATCAAGTTTGTGCCACAAAACATGATATTACCAGAAAGGAGCAGAAAATGAATTTGAACTGATTGGAAAATGAGTTTGAACTGGCTGTAGCCTCCTCAGACTGAGCAAGTTTACTTAAAATAAATACTGACATAACTCAGAGATATTGTGCATTTGGTTCCAGACCACTGCAGTAAAGTGAGTATCACAATAAAACTAGTCACAAGAATTTTTTGGTTTCCCAGTGGATATAAAAGTTATGTTCAGGTGCCAATCTTTAAAAAAAAAAGTTATGTTTACACTATACTGTAGTCTGATAGCATTATGTCTTTAAAAGAAAAAAGTGCATACCTTAATTAAAAAATACTTTATTGCTAAAAAATGTTAACCATCATCTGAGCCTTCAGTGAGTCGTAGTCTTTTTGCTGGGGGATGGTTATGTAAAAAAACGCAGTATCTGCAAAGCACAATAAAACATGTTGCGCCTGCAGGCCTGTAGATTTCAGTTTCTTTTTCATAGACTCTTACCTAAAATAGTCATTTGAGTAATGTGAACAGATATTACAGTAACACTTTACAGTCATGTGTCACTTAATGCTGGGGATGTGTTCTGAGAAATGTGTCGTTAGGTGATTTTGTTGTTGTGTGCACATCATGGAGTGTACTTCCATGAACTTCGGTGGTGTAGCCCAGTACACACGTAGGCTACATGGTGCTCATCTTATGGGACCACTGTTGTCTGCGGTCCATCATTGACAGAAACGCCATTAGGTGGGGCATGACTGTATGTGATATTGTTAGAGTAAGATGTTCCACAAAAGTAAATTTTTCAGTTAATGGGTAAAAAGGTACCCATTTAAGAGTGACAGTTTTTGTTTTTTTGTTTTTCGGTGAGGAAGATTGGCCCTGAGCTAACATCTGTTGCCGATCTTCCTCTTTTTGCTTCAGAAAGATGGTTGTTGAGCTCACATCTGTGCCAATCCTCCTCTATTTTGTATGTGGGACCCCACCACAGCATGGCTTGATGAGCGGTGTGTAAGTCCATACTGGGGATCCAAACCCGTGAACCCCTGGCTGCCAGAGTGGAACGCATGAACTTAACCACTACACCACCAGGCCAGCCCCATAAAATGTACCCATTTAAGAGCCAACTACATTTACTCACCTAAACCCTTTGGATCTAAATAAGCTATGCATTTTATATTTTGCTTTTCTGTTCTCTTAGAATATATTTAAACCTGCCTTACTCCAAAAACAAAGTAGGCAAGTGTTATTACTTTCTTTAAACATATTGACTCAGGATCACCAATGAAAAAAGCACCTTGTATGTCATGTTTTCTGTTGTATTAAGTGCTTAGTAAGTATTTGATAAGTAGATTAATTAATGGATGGTGCTCCCTTCCCCTGTGCTTGCCCCACCTCCGCCTCCTGAGACTGTGGAAATGTGAAGTGCCCTTTGAGCTGATTCCATTATGTCCGGACCTGCCTCCCAGTGCTGACTCTTCACTGTCAGCTCATCACTTCCAGAACCACCTTAGTGCTCCCTTTTTCTAGCAGTCTAGCCTGATTCTCTTATTCTCTGCTTCCAAACTGTTTCTAATTGATATGAACTAAGATTGGAATAATGATGATACATTAAGAACACTGCACAGTTTGCAAATAACTTTAGGTGCTTTTGTTTCAGCAAAGTTAGAAATTATCCCAGCATTTATATATCTTACAGTCTATCAGAAAGTAGCCCTGTGATGTGGTTAGGAGAGATTATCATGTTAACCGTTTTACAGAGAATAAGCCTGATATTCAGAGAGGATAAATGGTTCACCTGGAGTTACAATATGAATAAATCTGGACTACAGTCTAAGTCTTTGGATTCTTAGGCTCTTTTTTATTTTATCAGACGATATTACAACTGTATCAAGTATGTAAATTTTACATGGACTTGAAAATTTTTTCTTTGGCTGGTCCAATTTCATTCATACTTATTTTGTTTCTGATTCTATTCTAAGTAATTGAGGTGATCATATGTGAGGTGTCTGTAAGTTAAGATACTTGAGGTTAAGGAACAGAAGGTTGAATTTATCTGTATACTTTTGACTGTTTTTGAAATGCTACCAAGTGCTTTGTGAATTACAAAACTCATTTTTAGTAATTGGGAACTAGAGAACGCAGTGGGGAGAGGGAGCTGTGGCAAAAAAAAAAAAATGTTTCAATTACTAGCCTCACCATTTGCCCTTATAGTCAGAAAAATTTTAAGTCTATAAAAAAATTACAGATTTTTTCCTATAAAAAATACCCTTCTGAGAACAGCAGCCCAGCTAAAATGTTGAGGCGAGAATGGCTTGGTTGCTTTGGCCCTGGTTCCTGACTTGTTCGGTTCTGTTCTGTTCTGTCGTGTTTCAGGTTAGCTCCATTCAGAACCAGATGCAGTCCAAGGGCGGCTACGGGGGCGGGATGTCTGCTGCCAACGTGCAGATGCAGCTTGTGGACACGAAGGCAGGATAGCCCCCGGGTCCCTTCTCTGGTGAGTACCTCAGAGCTGGGGCTTCACGGCCCTCCATCACCGACAGACAGCTGACAACATAGACAGACTTAAGTCTTGGGGTTACAAATATATATTTTGTTCTCTTTTTTAAAAAATTGTGAATTACTGGAAAAGGCACAATATTTAGTAGGCTGCTGAAGTGCCGATTCTACGTAGTTACTGCATATTTGGTTATTAGTTTTAGCTTGCTCTTTTCCATATGAAGACATTAAACGCTGTAAGACATCTGGTTGGGGAGGAGGCTTTGACTGAGATTCTGGTGACAAGACGTTGCTTATGTGTCCTTTAGACAAGAGTGAGGCTATTATTTTGAGTACTGGTACTGCAGGGAGTCCAACTGTAGTGAAGGAACTGTATTTAACTCTGCCTTATTGATAGACTTTTCAAATTAAAAAGAAAAGACAACTTTTAAAAAGGATGAATCCTTAAAGTGTAAAAATAATTTGGATTTTTCTTTTGGTTTTTATAGGTCATTGTGAATTTCTGTGTTTTCTCTTTCCCCTATTCTTTCATTTTTGTTGTCGTGATTGCTTTTCTCTTCTTTTCAATTACAAAAGAGAAGTGTGACGGCGTCTTGTTCACCCCGTTGTGATTACTCCAGTGAGACATTTCTGTTCTGCTCCGAAGCAGCTATTGCCAGGCGACTCCTGCGTTTTCCTCAGCTGGCGTGCATGCCTTTGGACTCATGGACAGAGTTCTTTGGATTGCGGCATAGTTTTCAATTTTTATCACTATGGATCTGATCTTAGCATGATCTTTTTGTGAATGCAGCACTATTATTTTTTCGTTTCTCCTTCCACCTCCAACCCTCTGCCTTATGATTTTCTTGGTAAGCAAGGACCTGCTATTGTGTTAATTTGTCACCGTTTATGTATATTTGGAAGGTATGAGACCCACAAGCACAATGATCATTTTTATTCATTTGAAACTTCAAGCAGAGTAGATATCTGCATGCTTTATGAAGTTGCTTCGTGTGGGAGCCCATGGGATGCAGGAGTGAGCGTTTCTTTGCTGCCGTGGGTTGACGATACTGCTGCTATTAGAGAAGGGTTAGCTGTGGCACCAAGTCACATCAGTTCTACAGAAAGCTAACTGGTAGCTTATTTTAGAAGTATAACTTTTTCATCTATTACAATAAAAGAAAAGCTTGCGTTCATAAGGCCTTCATTCTGTTGTAAATGTTCAGTATATTTATTTTGAGAGCAAGGACCTGTGATTATAAACAGGTATGGTATGTATCTGAGTGTTGCGGTGATACGCTCATCCAGTCTGATTCTGAGCATCATCATCTTAGTAACTGTTCGTTTCTTTGTGTACTCATTCTATTTTTACTTGTTTTTATTTTGTGTTTAACATTATGGTATCCAGTTGTTTCCAGTAACAGTTTGTTGAACTTCTGGCCTGTACTACTAACTGCAGACTCCAGAGTCCTTGGGCTGTCCATATTCTACATATTTTGGGGCAATGGAAGTTGCCAAGAGCAACACACTGACCTGGCTGAATCGTTGCCAGGGAAAATAACCTGTATCGTGACTTTTTATGGTATTGATAAGAAACCTTTGCTCAGGTTCCAAAATATGTTTATTCTTCACAAACTGTGTGTATTTCAGATATTTCTGTAAATGCTTCTCCTTCCCCTAAGGGTCTAGTGTTAAGCCAGTTAGTGGTCTGTATTCTCATGGAAAGGTTTCAATCTTATTTCCAATTCAGTCCTGTCTAACTATATTCGGTAGAATTAACATTTCATGTAGCAGATGGGGCTTAATTGAAAACTTACTTAGAGAACTATAAGGAATTAGGTAATTGAATAAAGAAATTTTCTCTTCTTTTACCCCTTTCCCCTGACCTTAGTCCCAGGTTCTTGTGAGAAAGGTAACTGAATAAATATTAGGTTTATGCGGGCAAAACATAAAAGCATTTCCCCCCTAATTCTTTTGAATTTAATTTCATTTACCCGGTAGGGTGGTGCACTAGATTGCTCAATCCTTGTATTTCTGCAATGTTGAGCCTTCCTGGGTGTCAATCCTGAACAGACACATAATCTGTCAAGGAGAAATATTTATGCTTAGTAATCAAAATAGGCAATAACTTCTAAAATTTAATTCATCTAGTGTCATTAATTCACTGTGTGGATATTGGACTCTGGAATTTGCCTGAGTACATTGTCATTCTGCTCAGCCAGAGTCAGTGCTCCTCAAAAGACAGATTGGATTTTCTAGGCATTGTCAGCACTGATGCTCTTTAGTCTACTTCTATTTTGACTTTTAAAATTAGTACAAGTTTTATACTTGTCATATAACTCCTAGAACAATAGGTCCCTTTTCCCCAACTCATGATTTGATTTTATTCTTTTTTTCCAATCACTGTCTTTTCTGCTTCTACCAAGGACCAAATACTCCAGTGAGCTGCTGGAGCATCTCTCCATGGTAAGCCAAAGGCTGCCCTGTGCAGCCACCACTGACCTCACAGTAGCCACACTGTGTACACAGCACATGCCAAGGGAGGTGCCAAGAAATTCAAGAAATAAGAAAATTACAAAAATCCTAAGATAGTAACCTTGGACACACGTCTTTTAGGGAGTGTGAAGCATTCATAAGTGGGACTCTAAATCTCGAGAGGTCATTTGTTCCCCATAGCAATGTATCTCATTTTAAAATTGAAGCTAATTAAATAAATAGGATTGACGGTTAATACTTTGTTGACATACATGCTGACCACTGTTAAGCAAGGGAAACTGAGTGAAGGTTTAAAGTAAGGACATGGATTCTGTCTTCAGTGATAAAAGAGGTGCTTTCCCATGGTGGGGGCATGAAGTGGTGCCAATAACCATCGAGCGGAAATGTCAGCTGTGGTGACTGGGTTTAGCATTTCCAATGCAGCATTATCAGTGGGCCTTTAAAGATACTTTGGGAGGATATTAGCTTTCACTTTTGTTATTAAATTATAGCAGTTTCATTATGGAGAGCAAGTTTGCCTTGATTTTGTTTAAAATGACGTCTGCTCAGCACCCAGAAGATAAATTGACATATTTTTATAATATAAGCATACTTTTTTTGTACATTGTGTTCATTCTTGAATAAAGTAAATTCAGTGTTGGCTTGTAGATATTAAAAAGAAAATATTGATTTTGATTCAATAAATGTTTTCTTTGAATCCTGGTTTGGTTTTTCCTTTCTTTTAGTTCATTTAGATTTTTCCCTTCACAGAATTATTTACCAGAATTCACTTAGAGCACCTTTTTTAGCATTCTCATATTTTCAGTTATGACTACTATTATGCAAAAACAATTTATCTCTTTTCTCTTTAGTTTAGAAATTTAAGTTCTTATCTTTTAATCTTTAACTTCACCTTATAATTTACCAAATGCCTAGTGAGAGTGAACCTAAAGTGCCTGGAAATAGGACTTATTTTAAAAAATTTTATGTAAGATGATAGGAAGAAAGTAAGTTATTGAGCAAAGATAAAAAGTGGAAATGAGAGGGAGGGAGGTTTTTTAAAAAATATATATTAATATCCTTTTTCTTTACATTTTTATTGCCTGTCAACCTCACAAGTGATTGATAGCTGATTTTTAACAAAGGTGTTAAATACGTCCTCAATTTTCCATACTGAGGCATTTTGTTCTCATGGTATATATAGGATTTAAATAAAATTAAGCATTCTTTTCCTCAGTTGTTATAGAGCCACATTTGAAGTGCTCAATAGCTTCATGTAGCTATCAGCTACCATAGTAGATAATTATAGGACATTTCCATCATCACAGAAAGTTCAGGCAATTTAGAGCTTCCCCCTAAAATAGTTTAGGATGCTGGTTCCCATTGGGGGTGATTGTGTTCCCCAGGTAACACTAGGCAATGTCTGGAGATATTTTGGTTGTCACAACTTGAGGAAGGGGTGCTCCTGACATCTGGTGGGGGTAGAAACCAGGGAGGCTGCTAAATAGCGACAACACATAGGACAGCCCCCACAGCAAGGATTTATCCAGCCCCAAATGTCATAGTGCCACATTTGAGAAACCCTGGTTTAGGACAAAGAAGATCTATATACTTACTTACAGGTACGTCCTGTGAGAGACTTCACTGCATTGGACCTTGTGCAGAGGTCAGTGAGGTTTGGCTGTATCATAATTGCCACACAATATTCTAGAATAGAAAAATCAATGAGAAAAGTGCTAGGGAAGCATATTTCAAAAAGTATTGTTAATTTTTTCCCTCATCTCATGGCCAAAGACTCTAAAAGGAAATTGGGTTAAGATGAAGTTCTTTGTAAGATAAAATACTCACAATTCAGTAAGACATCCTGATTAAGAGAAAAAGTATCTCAAGAAACTGATGTTGGTGTAACATCAGGAGCTCTATTTTGAGCTCAGGTTTTCAAAGGACAAGCGTAAAATGTAGAAGAGCTCATAAGACAAGCACAAAAAGTAGGACGAGTCTATAAAAATAGAGACAGTCTGGAATTTGCTAAAACCTGTGAAAATGCAAAGATCTACAAAATTGATACAGATAAGAAGGGAATTATATACCCTCTGCTTAAAACAAGAAAACTTAAATCACTCAATGACTCATGTTAGTTACTTTTTATATTTGGCACATTAACTTAGTTTTTATGATGTTTCCAAGACTATGAGGCCTTGTTTTTAATGCTTTCTACCAGATATGTGCAATTTCTGGGTGTGTGTGTGTGTGTTTTTTCTTTTTTTGAGGCAGATTGGTTCTGAGCTAACATCCACCGCCAATCCTCCTCTTTTTGCTGAGGAAGATTGGCCCTGAGCTAACATCTGTGCCCATCTTCCTCTATTTTTTTCATATGTGGGATGCCTGCCACAGCATGACTTGATAAGTGGTGCCTAGGTCAGCATCTGGGCTCCAAACCAGTGAACCTTGGGCCGCCAAAGCAGAGCATGTGAACTTAACTGCTTTGCCACCAGGCTGGCCCCTCTGGGCTCCTTTGACCCCTATCCTTACCTTCATCTTTACAGTTTTCTATCTGGCCTGCCTTTGTTGCTCAGCAGAAAAATCAGCTTCCTATAACAAAATGTTACTTCCTGGGTAAGAAGAGCCAAATGTTTAATCTGGGACCTCACTAGCCGTTGCTGAAAGATTGTGATCTTGGTATTGAAGAAACAGTGATTTTACTCTCATTGGAAGGTAACAGCAGGAGAGTAAAGACAGTGTCTTATTCTAACCCCAGATTTTCTCTTCTGTAAACCCAGACTCCAGGGTTCACTAGAGCTTTTACAACTCACTAGAACTCGTGTCCAGGAGCTGTGACAGATAAATGCGCTGACAGCCTGCCCGGGGGCCCAGAAAGGATTCTAGGCACAGCTTTTTATTTTTGTTTTTGCTTGTTTAAAGGAGCAGCAAATAAGATACTTCTTTCAAAATCTTCAGAGCTTCACCTAGTTACCTTTTTCTTAATGTTATTAATTTCAGCCGCTAAACACTTACAGCCTTTGTATGTCTCTGTATCTTTCAAATGTGTGAGCTGACTGAATCCTTCACATTAGACCCTAGTTCTTGGCCACAAGTTCCCCCTGGGCTCGTCCACCCCTGCTGATGTGCATGAGCACTTTGTCTGCTGGGGGCAGCACGTGCAGGCAGTGTCAGAAAACACTTGAGTCGCTGTTTCTGGGTCTCTTTAAAAATTATTTCACTTTTCAGAAACAGTGCAAAGAGGTAAAAATCACTGTACTTACTGCTTTTGGCAGAGCCACTCAGATTCAGAATTCCAAATGGGGTGATTTTTGAGTTGAACTTCTTTCCAGTTTCTATAATGTCTATTTTGTCTCATAAAATTTTTGCACAAATGTCTATAGGTTTTACTTAGCTCTAAGTTTTGCCACTTGGATACTGTCTTAGTCTGTCTGGGCTGTTAAAATATCCCAGACTGGGTGGCTTATAAACAACAAGAATTTTGTTGCTCACAGTTCTGGAGGCTGGGAATCTGAGACCCGGGTGCCAGCATGGTCAGGCGAGGGCCCTCTTCCAGGTCACAAACTTCCTTGTATCTTCACATGATAGAAGGAACTAGGGAGCTCTCTGGAGCCCCTTTTTGTAAGGCACTAATCCCATTCATGAGAGTTACACTCTCCTGACAAGCACCTCCCAAAGGCCTTACCTACTAATACCATCATCCCTTTGGGAGTTAGGATTTCAACATGAATTCTGGTGAGGACACAAACATTGAGACCATGGCACATGGGTACCAGAAATGAGAGACTGGACCATCCCTCAGTAGATGCAGCCACATCCAACCTGTGCATGAGAGAGCCAAGGCCGCAGGCCATCTAGGCCAAGAGCATATCAGGATCAGCTACGACTGCAACCCAGAAGGGAAGCAAGCAGTCCTTTCTCCCTTTCTCCCCCTTTTGAATATGATATTCTTGAAGGAGACTGACCCAACAGGTAGACATTTTAGGGGAAAAATCACTCTAGTAAGTCATTTATACTTTCACACTTCACAGTCCTCAACAGAGCTTTTGTCCTGAAGACTCATCTATTCAGCAATGCAAAATTATATTGTTTCTCTGATTATTCCTCCTCCTTTGGAGGATTACCAGATTTCTAAGCAGCAGCAGTGAAGTCTAGAATATAATGGAGCACTTGCTTCAAACTTCTAAGAGAAGTCATTTTGAACTAGTGTGCTCTCTATAGCCAAACTTTCAATGAAGTGAGATGGCAAAATAAAGATCAGACTAGCAAGGAATCAAAACTTCCACACGCCCTTCCTGAAAACACTTGAGAGTATGCTCTGCAAGAACACGTAGAACAAATCTAGTAGCATAATTAAGATTTTTTCCCCTTTTTCTCCCCAAAGCCACCCAGTACATAGTCATATATTTTAGTTGCAGGTTCCTCCAGTTGTCAAGTAGCATAATTAAATCTCAAGATTTCTAGGTGTGAAGAAGACCTTGAAAGCAATCTACCCAAATTAGAACAAACAATGAACAAGAAGCATAATTGAATGGATACCATTTAATAGATGGAAGATTAATGCATTCAAAAATATTTTATTGAGCACTATGTGCCAGGCACTGCTTTGGCACTGGGGATATAGCAGCAAACAAAAACAAATTCCTTTACCCTCCAGGAGCTTTCATTTTGGAGGTGGGGGTACAGAGAGACAGACATTAAGTCAAATAAGTAAACAATATAAAAGATTAGAAAATGCTAAGTGCTCTGGACAGATAGCTGGGGATATGGGAGAGGAGATGTAGTTTAAAATAGCAGCAGCCTGAGATGGTGATATGGAAACTGACAAGGTCTTAGTAACATGGCAACAAAACACATTTTACTGTTGGCAAGAAAAAGGAAAGACAACTCTAGATATCCTAGTATAAAGCAAAAACATGTCCAAAGATGTGACATGATTTTGGGTGTGGATAGATGTTCTCCAAGCTCCTATAACAGAGTCAGCCACGTAAATAAATGACAAACTGTGTTTTGAATGAAATTTAAGAAAAGAGAACACTGTCGTTTGAGAGGCACAGTTTCAGTGACAAATAATTGTATTTCTTTAAGAGCTCATAACATAACTTGATTGTACAGTGAATTATAAGGACATAATTACAATCTTCAAGTCTTTTTAAATCAAACCAGGAAAGATTATTGTAGTCACAAGACAGAATGTAAATTCTAGAAAACTTGACAAAATTCAGAAGATAGTGTAGGGGAAAAGAAGTGGAGGAGAGTATAGTGCTAATTTCCTTTATGCACATATTGGGAATTCATGAAGTACTGTCAATATGTATCCTCTAAAGTTATAAAAATATACAACAATGTTATATCAATTATATCTCAGTAAAGATAGAAAAAAATAAAGTTATATATAAAAAAAAGAAACTTAAGTCAACGGTCATACCATCCAGAGTGCACCCAACTGTCTGATCTCAGAACCTAAGCAGGGTCAGGCCTGGTTAGTAATTGAATGGGAGGAACTTAAGTGTAAAAATATAATCATGATCCTGGTTCTCCTGCCTCCCCTCTGACTGTTTCTCTTCAGTCTCCTTCCCCTGCCTCCCAAAACTGAATCCACCCCTTGAATGTTGGTCACCCATGGGGATCTGTCTTTGTTTTGGCTCCAAAGACTAATGGCATTTAGAAGGTGATGTCAGCATCATGGCCGAGTGAGCTCTTCCTTAGTCTCTCCCCACTAAGATACAAAGAAAAGGACACTCAGACGAACAGAGGACATTCACACAACATAATGGACATCTGAGAGATCCATGGAGTCATATGTGTGAAGGTGGAGGTGCTGGACTCCCCAGGAGGCAGTGGAAGGAAGTAAGGGGATCTCCTGTCCTCCCCTGAATGGCAGAGACCCTGAATGTGCATGGCTCTCAGAGGAAAGAGGAGGGGGAAGCCTTCTGTGGGAATGCTTACACTCTTGGAGTTGCCTCCCAGCCCATGGGAAAGCTCCACACTGAGGAGGCTAAGCCTTCACAGGAGTGTCTTCACCAAGCCAAGCACCCTAGGAGGGCAAACAGTGAGTGCAGAGCAGGAGCGCCCCCAGGATTTTGCATGTGAAATAAAGCACCTGTCCCCACACCTGGTGCACCAGCTAGGCCAGTCAGCCAGAGCCAGGGATCCCTACCAGAGTGCCTGCGCATACGTTTGTAAAGCAGCCGTGGTGAGTGGGCAAACACAGGCCCTGTCAGCATAGCTTCTAATGGACATGCACAGCTGCCAGCGTTTGTGGCGGGCTCAGAATACACAGCTCCTGTTCCCCCTGCCCTCCCACTGATGGCAGGTAGAATCTGCGACCAGATACTGCCACTATGTGAAAGCACAAATCCACCCCATCAAATCAGATAAAGTACATTAACACTCCAGACCAGAAGGAAAATGACAAGTACCTGGGAATGAATCCAGAAGGCACAGAAATTTACAATCTAAATGACAGAGAATTCAAAATAGCTACAAGAAAACTCAGACAGTTCACTGAAATCAGGAATAAAATTAATGAACAGAGGGAGTTCTTCACAAAAGAGACTGAAACCATAAAAAACCCCAGAAATGTGGGAGATGAAAAACAATGAATGAAGTAAGAAAACTCTGGAGCCCTTAAATAACAGAGCTGATATTATGGAGGATAGAATTAGCATTTAGAGGACAGAAATACAGTAATGCTTCATATGGAG